TTATGGGGGTATTTGTAAACCTCATTAGAGATTATTGGATTATGTTGCTTTAAGTGACTTGAGTACATGTTCTAAAGGAACAATATTATGGTTTGGTAATTATGGTTTATACTCCATTATGGTTGTCGGCTATCTATTGACAAGTTGAGGAACTGATCACCCTTAATCTCTTATTGATAGTAGACGATATTGTATTGGATGGTATAGACTTGTCTTGCTATCTTAATGGTGTGTGAAGTGATTGATGTTATATCGTGATGATAATCTCTCATCAGTTGTTTGAATTTATAGAGGAGTTGCTAGGAAAGAGTTGAGGCGTATTGAAAAATTCGGAGTAGCAGGCTTATATGCGAGCTAACGTCGCAAAGTGAAAGATTGGGAATATCAAGTGAACAACGATTTTATGGTGGATGTTAAAGAAAGTCTGAAACTAGGTTGAAACTTGTAAATCATATAGTTGAGAGGAATTTTAATAAGGACCGTGACTTAAGATGGATGATCAAAGTTGCGCAGATGAAGCGTGATATGGCGCAGTTGTATGCGTGTACGACTCGTTAGAAGTGAAGGACTAAATATTATAAGCCTATGGGAATGATATGTCTTAATCTACATGTTTGATTTAGTGGATTGTTGATATAGGGATGATGTGCCAGGATACTGTGTTTTCTTATAATAATTTGCTGATTATATAAGGATATTATTGTGGTTGTTGTTCGATTGTGAGTTGTGTGTATATTTCTTGAGTTATGCTGTTAAGTTGACGTTATAATGATTTTGTTCCTGTTGTCGTGATGTTGTTGTTAGTTACCGTAAATGATGAATAATACCCCATAGTATGATGGAGTTGATTATGTTGGCTATGTTGATGTCACTGTAAGGGTGATACAACAATATGAATAGAGTTTTTGATATTTTGTTGATACTTGACATATATATATATATATATATATATATATATATATATATATATATATATATATATATATATATATATATGAGAATGAAATTGTATATGTGTTTTGGTGTTGAAAATCTTGTTAAGATAATCATGTGATGTTATATGTCCAAGTATAAGTGTGTTATGGTTATTACTACTTTAAAATGTTGATATGTTAAAATATTGTTGAAGTGGTTGATAAGTTATTAAAAATTATGCCGCGAAGGTGTTGAATGATTAGCATGTGTGTATTTGATTTAAATCGTGTTGAGTTATGGTTATGTCGAGAAAGTAGTGGTCGAAGTGTTGCCAAACGCGACTTGAGGATCAGAGAATGAGATGCGAAATTCGCGTTAAGAGTGGTAGTATCAGGTAGATTTTCGAAGACGAAAATATTCTAAGTGGGGGACAGTTGTAACGCTCGATAATTTAATTAATTATTTAATTAAATTATTTTTGAATTATTTGTTGAAATGTGTGAAACGTTGTTATATGTTGCTAAGTTGTTATTCGGGTGATTATTTTAGTTGATTAATATTAGCAATAATATTAGTAATAATATTATAATTGAAAAAATAAATAATAGCACAGACTATTTGTTAGTTAACGAAGTGAAAAAATTGTAGCTTAGCATATGTAGCAGGTAGGATTAATAAATGACAGAGTCAAAATGCTTTGCACGGACAATTATTAAGTTGTTGTGATGATGTTGTTGTTAATTGTGAAGTTGCGGGTAGTGATGAATTTTGTTGTGTTTCCTGTATTAACTGGCTAAAACCAAGTTGTAGGTCATTAACAGTAAAATAATAGCAGAGATAATTCGTGGTAGTAAGAGATAATTCATAGTAGTAAGATGTAATTACAGAAACCTTATCGGAAAACTATTAACAATATAATAGCATATTACATGTGGTAGGAATAAGTTGACAGTAGGAGTTAATTATGAAATAGTAACAAAAAGCTATTAGAAATAAACAACAGTAGAGAATTAGTTAGTAGCACTAGTAGTAGTAGTAGAAATTGTTGATTGCAATACTAGCTTATATAATAGTTGCAACAGGTTTATATTAGAGGAACCATCGCATAACATCTAATAGTCGAATATAGACATATAGTTGAATAATTATGTAGTGGTATTGCAATAGGTTTCTATTGTATTTGTGAATTTTACTATGTTGTTGTAATGTCAATATTGTTGACGATGCGAAGTTGCGGGATATACCGATGTTGTTGAAATGCCTCTAATTCTTGGCAGATATTATGTTGTAGGCTTACGGCCAAAGTTGAATTATGTTGAGTTGATATTGAATTGTTGTTGATGTTATAGGCTTATGGCCAACTTTGATTTATGTTGAGTTGTTGTTTGTTGTTGTTGTTGCTACATTCATGTTGTCTCGCATACATCGTATATCTATTTAAAGCTGATGCTCGTTAAGTTGGTCTGAATTAGCAAAATATTAAGTTGAAGAATTATGCCTTGTTGATGCCACTATTTATTGATAGATTATTATGTTGGGATTTTCGCTCCGTTGGTACCACATGCATGTGCATATAAATCAAGTCACATTTCATGTTGCATCCTGTATTGTTGTATGGAAGAATTAGTTGCGTTGAATGTTGTTAAAAAGCTGTGAAGTTGTAATGGTTATATGAACTGGTTCTAATATATTATTCATCATACATTCTATTATATTATTTGATATCTCACCCCTTCTGTTTGAATGTTACCCCTATGTTAGTAACATGCAGGTAATCTAGAGTGAAAGCTATTTACCTTTATTAGTTCGAGTTGGTTTTGTCGCTCTGATACGTAACACTCGAGGGGGATGAATGCTTGTTGCTTTATCGTTGTTATTATTTCAATTATTGAATTTTAAGTTGATTTCATGAAGTACTTTGTGTTTTCTAAAGTTTTTTTAAGTTGGACAAAGATGATATGTCATTTGAGTTGAAAATTGTGATTCCGCTGCTTAGTTATAAAAGTTGTTTTGTTTTCAAAGATTAATTTTTGTTTCTATTGGTTCATCTGATTTTTAAGTGTTATGTATTCGTGTTAAATGTCGTTGTTATAAGTTGTAAGTATAGCATGCTATTTGTATGTCGAAATTTTATAACTCTGATTTTAATTATATTCGTCGGGTAGAAATGGGGTGTTAGAGGTACGCCTGCACCTAATTCCAGTGAAATTAGGATAATTCTTACTATATAAAAGTGTCGATACAAGAGAAGTGTTCAAGAGCAACCCCATAAACTTTAAGCGTGTTGTTGATTCAACACCTTCTCATTCCTTGATCTTGAGAGAGACCAAGAACACAATAGATGAGAAATGACTATCTGGATCTTGCTACTCTTTTTCATTCTTTCTCCAAAGCTTTTGTGCACCGTCAATCTCAAACTATTGCAACATAAGGCTTCAATTATATCCGGTACACCAAGTTACTTCCTTACAAAGATTTCAAACACTCTCAGGTTCCTTGCAAATATTTTAAGCACTCCAAGGTTATTCACTTTACATAATTACCTCTCGAACTTCTTGCACGAAAACTCACAAATCAAGCAATGATCTTGGAGGACAAACACACAGTTTTCCCCGGATGAAAACCCCTTCAAAACTCCACCCAATACACAATTGGGCACTGGAAATCATCATCTAGATGGAACCCCAATGGAACATAGTTACAATGTAATGTCAGTGTGTATGCATATATTGGATGTTGAAGATGGAGAGAGAACTAGGTTAATTTTATGGTTTTCAACAAGTTGGAATGATGCATGAAAGAGTATTTATAGTTTTGGAATTTTTAGGTCAAAGAGAGATGAATTCGGAATAAAAGAATTTAAAAAATTGACATACTAAAACAATATGTGTCAACCTAATACTCATATGTGTCGATACACACATGATTTTTGGACAGTATGTGTCGACCTATGAAGGAACATGTGTCGTCTCGAAAGTTACAGAAGCTATAGGCTTTAAAATGCTAGTAAATATGTCGACCTGACGGATGGATGTGTCGACACATAAAATAAGAATTTCTTCATTTTCAGAAATGCTTCAATATGTTTCGACCTGAAATGATGCATGTGTCGACCTGAGACTTAAAGAAAATACCAGCTTTAAAAATGTATTACATGTGTCGACCGGAAATATGCATGTGTCGACACATGCAGAAAAAAAACATACAGAAAACTATTTTTAATTACTTGGATCAATTTTCAAATATTTTCGAATGATTCCTTGGACCTCTAATATAGAGGAGTGCAATAAGACATAAGGATATTATCCAATACTCAGAAGTGCAAGCTTTTCCCAGTTTTGACATCATTCAAAACATTTGACGACGAAGTTTGTACCCACACTTCTTTTCCAAATAGGGTATGGGCTAGGATTTTGTGAAAGTAACAAATTGTTGGATTATGGATATTCTCATAATACATGCCATTTGGTTCGAGATGGTTGTTTATGGTAATGCTACCCCAAAAGTGATTAAGTTCAAGGTCCATAAGAAGTTACTCTTGAGTAATAGTTGAAGGGGCACTACGCTAAAAATAAGTTTTAGCAGCACATAAAAGAAAGCGCTTTTGGAAAAAAGCGCTGCTGTAGGTTTTAAAAAAAATTCGCTTAAAAAAGCGCTTTCAAAGGGTGCCTTAAGAAAGCGCTTTTCAAAAGCGCTTCTATAGGTCACCCTTAGAAAGCGCTTTTTGGGAAGTGCTGCTAAAGTTGGCCTTTCAGAGGGTACCTTAAGAAAGCGCTTTTCAAAAGCGCTGCTAAAGGTCAGCCTTAGAAAGCGCTTTTCCAAAGCGCTGCTAAAGCTGGCCTTTAGAAAGCGCTTTTAAAAGCGCTGCTATAGGATATGCTATGAAAGCGCTTTTTATGTAAAAGCGATGTTATAGATGACCTTTAGAAAGCGCTTTTAAAAGCGCTTTCGTAGGTGTAGTTGGTTGAGATGTTTTAGAGAATAAAATAATTAAAATAAAAATTTTAAACAAAGTTTAAAAGGAGAAAAAATTAGAAATGTTATTTGAGTGAAGATATGGATTCCATGAGTCACACAACATTACAATGTCCCCAAAGCTACCTTCACGTCTATTCCCTTACCTCATCTTACTAACACTTGCATCCATCTGTCTCTTCTCTTCTCTCATCTCTCTCCACACACCCTCTTCTTCAACCTCACAATCACTTTCAATCTCCAACTGCAACTTCTTCAAAGGCAAATGGGTTTTCGATCCAAATTACACCCCACTCTACGATGACACGTGTCCCTTCCATCGAAACGCATGGAATTGCATCAAAAACCAGAGGGGAAATCTGAGCTTGATCAATTCGTGGAAATGGGTTCCACATGGCTGCCATTTGCCTCGGATCGACCCGTTTCGGTTTCTTGGTGTGATGATAAATAACAACGTTGGGTTTGTTGTGGATTCGCTCAATGAGAATTTCTTGGTTTCGTTTTTGTGTATTCTTAGGGTTGCTGATGAGGGTGCATGGAAGTGGAAAAAGAAGGGTGCTTGGAGAGCCTACACAAGTATTGATTTCATTGGATAAAATTCAAATAATCTATTTTAGACACTTCCAAAACCATTCCAAGGACATGGATCTTCTCCCACAGTGTAGCAGTTATGCGTAAAACATTGCCACACCATACTTAGTATGGTGTTGCACTTAAAATACTCTTTCACCGCTGCATTGTGGGAGAGGATATGAGTCCTTTTTATAAAGGTACGAGAGTGTTGTTAAATTAGCATAGTCTTCAGACTATGTTTCACAGTTTTTGTTTTGATATCTTATCCATCTTGTTTAAAAATATTTATGAATAATAGGTTAAGTATCATAATGAGTTGTAACCTTTGTATTCAATTCTATCTTGGAGAATCATTATGTTGTTTTAGTATATTGATATTGCACATGCAAATGGTGAAAGTTTAGAATTTGTTCTTAGAGCTTTGAATGTTTTTTCTTTTTGTATGTACCCTGAAAATGGTGATTATATGTGTCTTTAATTTTATCACAGGTAGCTTGGGGACACAAAATGTCAAAGTATTGAATTTTCAGTTTAGTCAAAAAACAGTTGGGCTTTCACAACATTTTGGCCTAGAAGTTGGATTAGTAGGATGCCACTGCAGTACACTAGTTTGGTTACGTCTCTACAGACAGTTAGATATTTAACCTCGTCTAATGAACAATCGGCAGAGATCCAACGTAAGTTATTTATTGTTTGATATTCACAAGTTATTTTGTTGAATATCTGATAGAAATGTCGTTGTTCTAATAATCAATTTCTTTAAGCCTATTGAAAAATTCCTACCACCTATGATTTCTAGTGCATTATTTATGTCCTACTTAGGACTACAGAAACGATCTGATGCGTTCTTGCGACTATGCTGATGTCGTATTGTGTGTGCATTATAGTGAATAATCTGTATTTAGAATTTTCTCATTCATTATAAATCAGTAAGCCTTTGCTGGTGCATCTCCAACCTTGATAACACAGCCTCAATCTCAATTGTTGGTTCATCTTCAGCATCTGCAAATATGCACCAATCTTTGCATCTTTCTTGCTTTTCCAGCATTGTTTCCATTGACTAGTTTGATTTTAAATTTATTTTTTCATTGCTGACACATTGGACCAGTCTCATCGCCCAACTTACTTGCCCAATAACAAGATTCTTGGTGGTTGTCTCCTTCATAAATGTGTTCTTCTTGCTGTGACAGATAGTTTTTGGGGAAGTTTGAGCCTCCTACTTGTTCGACTCACCCAAAACATGTTAGGAACCTGGAAATTTTACTGAAAACAAAAGACTATTTTGTTGGAAGATTAAGAAAGATAGAAAGAAAGAACTCTCCTTCAAAATTCTGTTATTTTTTATCAGGACTCTGTTGGTTTATGTAAATATGGGATTCTATCAAAATACTCATGTGCTAATGCATTCATGCTGTGATCTGATTCACATTTAAAATTGTGCTTAAACTGAAATTTTCATTATAATTAGTTTTTAAAACTGAAACTGTCAAATTACAATGTAGTGATTAAAATATTACATGTGGCAAAGTCTGTTAACTTGATATGTATACCATAGTCTGACTTCTATTGATGTCCCATTTTTGATGATGCAACAACTGTTTCAAGGTCAGAAGAAGGTTCTAAAGAGATTAAACCTTCTGGTTTGACAAGCGAACAAATTCTCAATTTTAATGAGGTTAGTGCATCATAAGTCCAAAATCAATAAAAAATATCCTAATTGATGATGACTTTATTAACTTGTGCAGTTTGCCACCATGGTTTGACCTAATTTTCATCGACCCATTTCAATCTCTTTGCAGGTGGAATTCCTCCTCACAAACTTATGAGACACGACTTCAATTGCAGAGCTTGAATTAAAAGTAAGCTATCATCCTTACTGACCAATGAATTTTAGTCTCTGCATAAGCCCATTAATTAGGTACTCTATTAAATCTTGCTTCCTTTGTTGTTTCTTCTTCATCCCCATCTGCCCAACCTTCAAATCATATCAGCTTGATGGATTTCACCTGCGTGTAATGAGGGGTTTGACTGAAAATACTAAAACCCTTCCTCCTCCAATTCCTGCTCCAGAAAGTATAAATTCTATCGTCGAAGCACCTGTTTCTACATCGTCATCATCGGCCATCTTTAAGCCAACACCTTCTTCATTGTCTATCCAGGGATTCCTAGACAAAGTTGCAGATGAAGGGTTGGTGATAATTCAATCTCCAACGGTAAGAATCTAAAACAAATATTATTTTTCATCCCTTCCAATAGTTTATTCTAAAGCCATAGAGCAGGTGGGCTTCTTCAGAAGATCTCGAACCATAAAGGGAAAACGTACTCCTCGTAGATGTGAAGAGGTACACTTCAAGGCCTTTCCTTCTCATTTTTTCAGTCAACTGAAATCTTGTTATCATAGTATCTCTCACATTCACCCCATGTGTATGTTGAGAAATCTACCATTTCCAAAAATAGTTTTTGATTGTGTGACATGTACATTTTTTGACAGATGCAAATGATTGAGGAGGGACAAGTGATATGTTACCTTGAACAGCTTGGTGGAGATCTGCCATTTGAGGTTTGTGTCAAAAACATTCCCTTATCTTTTCCAAATTCATATGTTACATTTTTTATTTAGTTACTAGTACTACTATAACTAACTATTTCCTTCATATTTCTTTCTAGTCTGATGTCTTTGGGGAGGTCATCAGGATTTTAAGAAAGGATGGTGGTTAGTTAGTTACCTCAATTTTTTGTTTATTCATTGTTTGATCTTTATATAGAGTCTTATGTGGATTTTAATTATCACTTTGTATGTTTGTCTTGTCGACAAATCTTGTTGGTTATGGTGACGCACTTATAGCAGTTTTGCCGTCATTTCCCAGAATAAAGAAGCTTCAATAGATCTTTCATATGCAGCATTCACACTCCACAATGAAGTTGTGTCTGGTGTCTCACACGTGTCGGTATCCAACATTCACATATCATTACATTCAATGTTGCTTATCATCATGCGGTTTTGCTCTCCAAATATCAGTAACCTTCTCCTTTACCAATTCTTTTTCTTGTTTCCGGTTTCAAAGTTCAAAATTTTGCAATTAGCTTGTATTGGGTTGGTGAAATTTAGGGTCTGTTTGGAAGAACCTACTTAAACAGATATTGACTTTTAGGGTTCTGGTTTTACTTTGATCTTTCTTGTATACTTTTTTAAATGGAAACCTTATGTGCTAATTACTTTTTTAAATGGAAACTGGTTTAAATAAATAATATGCTGCAAACAATGCAGGTATATAAATTATATAAATTATACCTCTAATAAAACACCCTATGAAAGCGCTTTTTCAAGAGGGGGGTAAGAAAACACATAGAAGGGGGGGTTGAATAAGTGACTCTTTTTCTCAATAACAAAGCTCAACAAGAATGGAAGGACAAGGTTATTTTTATCCTAGTTCGTTTGAACTCAAACTACTCCATTCCACCCGTCAAGGTGATTTCGCCTTTCTCAACAAGGACTTAATCCACTATAATCAAAAGATTACAAACACACAACAACTGTTGTGACTAACAATGCACAAGTAATCTTGCAAGTGACTAACACCACTAAGACTTAAATCTATTCCTAGTCTACTTGAGAAATCTAACCAAACTTGGTCTCTCAAGGAACAATTACAAGAGTTCAAACTTACAAAGTATTAAATAGAAATTTGCTTTTAAAAAGCTATATCACAACTGTGATTTTTCACTTAAAATAAATTGCACAAAGTGTATGAAAAAAGAGTTTGTGAGCTTAGAATTTTCACGTAATTTCTTGCTTCTCTTTTTGAAAATTGTTGATTCGTTGACTAGTTTTTTTGGGTTGCAATAAATTTCTTTCTATTTATAGTAGGAACAATAAGACCGTTGCTTCCTTCAGAAAAATGGAGAGCATTAAATGCTTGCGTGTTTCCTTGCAATATTCCATTTTCCAAGAAACTAGCTTAGACACTTGAGTGCTTTCATCCGTCTTTGCATTAATGAGAAAATGACAAAATGTAAGAACATGTTTCCTACACTTGACAAGACAAGTTGGCTTTAACGTTCTTTCAGAACATGCTTCAATGTCTTCAAATCAGAACATGCTTTACTCATCTTCTAGGCAGTGCTTTGCTTGCTAAGAACTTGATCAACGCTTGCTTTCAAATAACTACTGAACATCACTTGCTTTCAAGTAAACTTCTGAGCAAGGAATCCTGCTAAATGTTAGGATATGTATTTAAAATAAATTGTCTTACTAGAGTCAGCAGATGCGCTTAAAAACAGAGATGGTTCTTTCATTAAAGAACTTCTTCATATAATTTTTTTTGCTTAGCACTTCAGAATGCTTCTGTCAGAATATTATCTGAAACATTCAAATACATTAATCAGAGTATAAATTATCTAGGATATAATTTATTGTTATCATTAAAACTCTGAGATAGATCAGAACTAATCTTCTTCTAATAATAGTAAAGACATTTGGGCCACTACAGAATCCTAAAAGTTGAGCCATTTCTCTGTGGTTGTAATGGTGATCAATACCAAACATCCTAAAAGTGACTAAGCCTTTGTTAAACCCCAACATGTGGTTAGGCACATAGGTAAGTGAACTCAAGCATTCAAGGGTTCGCCTACGATAAGAACTAAATCTTCTCCTCATAACAAAATTGTCCCAACCTAATTGGTTAAGCAGAAACATGACACTATCTTTAATTCCTAGTTTAGTCATGGTAAGTTCATCAGGGTAAATGGTTAATTCCATATCTCTCTAATCTAGAACATCAAAATGCCTCCCCTGGGTTCGGCCTCTGAAAGTAATATCCATTTTGTCTACTTGTTGCATCATGAAATTTAGTAATAACAATTAGCTTATGCTATGTTAGCTTAAAAGTAAGTAGACATTGATTAAGTTAGTAATGGTTAATACAAAATAATATACTGCGTAATATTCAGGAAATAAAATAAAATAAAAACTAAATCCTAAAATTCAAAATTCAAAATCTAGAATCTAAAATTGTGGGTTTCCTCCAACCTAGCACTTCATTTAATGTCGGGAGCTCGACATTACTTTGGAGTTTATTCTTGCGAAGAAGCGGGAAGCTCTTGTAATTTGTAATCGAAACAGTAGTCTTTATTTTCTATACTATGATAGTGCTTATGGCGCTTCCTATTTATGATGAATGAGTATTTTGGCCTCCGTTTCATTTCGTTGGCTCAACTTTGAAATACTTTTATAACCTAAAAAGGTCCCAACCATCTAGAACGAAGTTTTCCTGGAAAGTGTTTCACTCCAGGGTTAAAGAGAAGTACTACATCACCCTCGTTAAACTCTTTTCTTTATATAAGTTTATCATGCCACTGTTTAGTGCTTTCTTTATATATTCAAGTATTCTCATAGGCATCTAGTTTAAGTTCTTCTAATTCATGGATATCTAGAATTCTCTTTTTGCCATTGCCAATGTAGTTCAAGTTAAGGGTCTTAATGGCCCAATAAGCTTTATGTTCTAATTCTACCGGCAGATGATAGGATTTACCATAAACTAGCTTAAATGGTGTGGTACATATCAGGGTCTTGTAAGCTGTCTTATATACCCATAGAGCTTCATGTAGCTTCAAAGACCAATCTTCCCTAGAGGTGGCAACTATTTTCTCTAATATATTCTTAATTTCTTTATTGGAAACCTCTACCTACCCACTTGCTTGAGGGTGGTAAGGTGTAACTACTCGGTGTCAGACTCCAAATTTTAGCAATAATTTTTCAAAGATTTTGGAAATGAAATGGGAGCCTCTGTCTCTTATGACAAATCTCGGAACACCGAATATAGGAAATATTATATTCTTAAAAAGCTTAATTACTACTCGTGCATCATCTGTAGGTGAAGCTACAACCTCGATCAACTTGGATGCGTAATCAACATCAACAAGTATCTACTTGTTACCGAAATAAGATGGGAAAGGGTCCATAAAATTTATTCCTCATTCATTAAAGACTTTTACTTCTCATATACCTTTTAATGGAATATCATTGCATCTAGATATATTACCAGTGCGTTTGCACCAGTCATAATTTATAATCGCGGTGTGGACATATTTCCATAGATTAGGCCAGAAGAGTCTAGGTTGTAAGATCTTTGCACAAGCCTTTGAAGTGCTTGCATGCCTTCCATAGGGTACAGAATGGCAATGAGATATTATGTTATCTACTTCTACTTCAGGGAAGCATCGATGGAAGATGCCACTGGTGCCTCTCTTGAAAATAAGAGGCTCATCCCAGTAGTAATGTTTAAGATCATGGAAGAATTTCTTCTTTTGTTGATAAGTCAAGTATGGTGGAAGTACTCCACCTGCTAAGTAGTTGACAAAGTCAGCGTACCATGGCAATGGGGTTTTGGTATAAATTTCTTCCACAACTTCATTTATTTCTGTATCGTTATACTTTAAAGAGCATTCAATTGAATAGCTTGCTAATTGGGCTATGAGTCTATCATATGGGAAATCAACATTGATAGGAATCGGTTCGAGTTTCATGTCCTCAATTCTAGAAAGATGATCATCGACTATATTTTCGGTGCCTTTCTTATCTTTGATTTCAAAATCGAATTCTTGCAGGAGCAGAATCCATCTTAAAAGTCTTGGTTTGACGTCCTTTTTACTCAATAGGTAACTAATTGTTGCTTGATCGGTATAGACAATTCTTTTTGTTCCTACTAAGTAAGAAAGAAATTTATCTAATGCAAACACAACAGCTAGGAGTTCCTCTTCTGTGGTGGCATGGTTCATTTGTGCAGGGTCTAAGGTTCTAATTACATAGTAAATTTCATGAAGGTTTTTGTCTATTCTTTGTCCTAAGACTGCTTGTACTGCATTATCACCAGCGTCACACATTATCTCGAATGATTTACTCCAATCAGGTGGTTTCATGATATGAACTATAATAAGAGAATTTGTTAAATGTTCGAACAATTCTAAGCATTTTTTGTCAAAGATGAACTCAGTGTCTTTCATTAATAAGCCAGTTAGTAATTTGGTTGTTTTAGAGAAATCTTTAATGAATCGTTGGTAGAAACTGGTGTGTCACAAGAAACTTCATATTTCTCTAACGATTTTAGGCGGTTGAAGGTTTTCTATAAATTCTATTTTTGCTTTATCAACTTCAATGCCTTTATCGGACACTATGTGTCCAAGTACAATTCCTTGTTGGACAATGAAATGGCATTTTCCCAATTTAACACGAGATTAACTTTTACCTATCTTTCAAGTACCATTTCTAAGTTCGATAAACATCCTTCAAAACTCTGCCCACAAACAGAAATTTTTTCCATAAACACTTCCATTATGTCGTCAATAAAATCGGCAAAAATATATATTATACCTCTCTAGAATGTTGCGGGAGCGTTACATAATCCAAACGACATTCATGTTGGTGTAAGCCCTAAAGGCCAATACTTTTTGTACTTGTATCGAATTATTTATTAATAATAAAAGGAATTTCTTTATTATTCTTTCTTTTCCAAGATAATAAAGTCCCTAGAATAGCTAGTCTATTTAATGATATGTTAAATGCGACTTAATCATGAGATCTCATTAAACATAAGGACACAATTCTTAAAGTATCAGTAGTCGAGCTTTATTGTGAAGTGGGATAACATTAAAGCATTGAGATTATTATGTAGATAGATTGATGATCACATCTCATGGATCATGGATATGTAGTTATCAAGTCTTGACATAGGTATGAATATTAGGAGTAATATTTATACTGGATTGACCCTCTATGAGAAAACCACATAGAATGTTATGCAAAGTGTCATAAGGTATTCTCACGGTGATAAGTGGTGTATACCACCCTTCGACCTGAAACCACTATGGACCCTAGATATAGAGTCAAG